TAATTTCATTGCACGTTATGTGCAGCTGTGTGTTTCTCTTTTGCGTTTCCGATACACCTTGTGTATCTTGTGTGTTCATTTTTATGGAATGATTCCTATTTTCATTATAAACAAACTGCTGCACGGACATCAAGAATAAAGATATGGGCACAGCACGTTCAGTACACAGTGATTTTCCGTTGTTAACCTTGGAGTGGATTGGACTGTGTCCAGGCATCGCAGCCACNGTCCAACTGCGCCGCGTGGTGTACCTGTTGGTACTTCTGCAGTGCTGTGTGTGTGTGTGGCATAAGCAGAAAGTGAGAACTATGATGTTAAAAAGATGGAAAAACAATTTAGGGAGGTGCCGCAACGGTTGAGAGAACTAAAGAGTGATGCGGAAGAAAAACTTCGTCCTTTGAAGGAAGAAGTTAAGGCATGTAATGATAATTCTTCCCGTGCTGAAAAGGCTTTGGAGCAACTGAAGGAGCTCGTTGATGCAAGGGAAGAGGCGAAGGGTCCGTTTGCCAGTTATACCGGTCCCGGTGAGACGGAAAAACAGCGGAAGAAGGAGGAGGCTGCACTACAAGAAGGTAAAGATGCCGCTTCTAATGTCAAGTTAGCGGCGACGAAGACAAGAAAGGCGGCTGAAGCAGTTAAAAAGACATTAGCTGAGATGGAAAAACTTTCTAATACTCTTGTCCCCAGTGCTATTGGATTTTTGAATTCTCCTGCATTTTTTAATTTGCCGTCCAAGAGATATTCGGTAATGGAGGATTTGGCTGTCGCCAGCACTAGAGAAGGTGAATCCATTCAGGCCTTCGTTGCAGAAGAGAAATTGAGCGTCAAAAGGGCCTTCGACGCTGCGGAGAGGGCGGAGAAGTTCGCAAATTTTTTGAAAGTGGGGCTGGAATTGGCAGAGAAAGAATTCAAAGAGGAATTTTGGGAATCATGGTCTTAACCGTGAAGACTCAACAACGGATTCACTGCAGGATGCTCCAAAGAATGAATTGCCAGAAGAAGGGGTTGACAAGATGATAGCGGGGAAAGAAAATGAAGAAAGTAAAGTTGAAACCCAAGAAGAAAATAAAAGTTCTCAGAGCAAGACTCCGACTGACAGTCATTCATCTGCTACTGGAACTTCGCCATCACAAAATATGCCGACTAATTCCTCTTCTTTAGATTCAATCCATTTGAATGTTACTCAGTTAAGTGACAGCAGCAGCAGTCCTGCATTGGTGCACAGTCCCTTATTGCTGCTTCTTGTTCTGATGTGTGNGTGTGTGTGGCATATGCGGAAAGTGGTACTAAGGCTGTGACACCCAAGGAAAGTGATCCTACGGAGATGCTCAACGAAATGACTAAGAAGATGGATTCCCGGAAATACAGCTTTAATGAAAATATCGCGGTATTTATGGCCACAGAGAGTAATTGCCGTAAAGCTTTGAATCGTACTAAGAATGCAACGGATAATGCGCGTGAAGTTGGAGAGCTTTTGAAGCCCTTATTGGAAGAAATACGTAAGACTGAAAATTTGGAAAAGAAGAATGAGTCAAAAGAGTTGTTAAAGAAGGCAGTAGATGCAGCAAAAGAGGCCGAAGAAGCCGCTAACAACGCGAAGTTGATAGCTACAGCAACAATGGATTTGGTGAGTTCAATGCAGAGAGTTACAAAGGAATTGCACGTACTCGTAAAGGAAGTTAAGGAAACTGCTACAGAACACATTGAAAAGAAAGAAACGAAGAAAATGGCTGAAGAGTGCATGGAAAAAGCGGGGGAACTGGAGCGTACCGTTACAGGTGCCGAATATGCCATTCCAAGTGCCAACGAGGTGGCGAAGAAGACCGAGAAACAGGCGAAAGATGCCTCTGATGCTGCAGTCCGTCTTCAACCAATGATTGATGAAATTTTCAAAAAGTACCCACAAATAAAAGAAGAGGTGGATCGTGAAATTAAGGAAAGGGCTCAAGCAAACGCCAATCCGACGAATACAGGAAGTGAAGGTAATAAGACGCCAAACGAAAATAAGGAGTCGAACGGTACATTTCCAACTAAACAGAATGAAGAAAATACAAGAAACCAGAATACCAATACCGCACAAACTGAGACGGGAAGCCATACAACTGCCCAACAGCAGCAGAATGAAC